CAGGTTGACTTGCAACCATTAGAATAGAGATAGAATAGAATAGAATAGAATAGAATAGAATAGAATAGAATAGAATAGAATAGAATAGAATAAGGAATGGAATAGAATAGCATAGAATTAGAAATAGAATAGAATAGAATAGAATAGAATAGAATAGAATAGAATAGAATAGAATAGAATAGAATAGAATAGAATAGAATACAGAATGGAATAGAATATAGAATAGAATACAGAATAGAATAAGAATAGAATAGAGAACAGAATAGGAATAGGAATAGAGAATAGTATTAGAATTAGAACAGAATTGAACCAGAATTAAGAATAGAATAGAATTAAGAATAGAATAGAATCAGGAATAGAATAGAATCAGGAATAGAATAGAATATAGAATAGAATAGAATTAGGAATAAAATAGAATATAGAATAGAATATAGAATAGAATAGAATAGAATAGAATAGAATAGAATAGAATAGAATAGAATGGAATAGAATGGAATAGAATGGAATTAAGAATAGAGTAGAATCGAATTGAATCGAAAAGAATAGAATAGGATAGAATAGAGTAGATGGAACAGAATAGAAAATATGGAAATGGAACAGAACAGAACAAGAACAGAATAGAAAAAGAATCAGACAAGAAATAGAAACAGAACAGAACAGAATTCTTTATTGGCAAAGTGTGATTGGACACAGAAGGAATTTGTCTCTGGTGCAGAAGCGCTCAGTGTGAGAGAAGTTATAATGGTACTGAAAACAGGGACCAGTTTTCGACTACTGCAGCATCTCCATGGTCACATGATCAAAATTCGGATGCTTGGCAACTGACATGTACTTATGACAGTTGCCCTGTCCCAGGGTCACGTGATCTCCACTTGTAACCTTCCCAGCTGCTTTCCAACATGCAAAGTCAATGGGGGGGGGGGGAACCACATTTGCTTAATGACTGCCCCATTCAGCTAACAACCGCGGCGATTCACTGAACCACCGTTGCAAGAAATGGGACTGTGATTACCCGGAGTGTAACACAAATGTAACAAACTCCAAAACATAAATAAATGTCTTTTAATGCCTCCAACTTGGCCCCACTGTTCAATTATTCTCAGTTGGAGATAAAACTTACTCAAAAATAGTCTTCAAAAGAAAGCAATACAGTCCGAACTTAATGAGCAGATAGAGGTGAAATAAAAAACTAAAACAAACTATAATGAAGGAATTTCCACAACGTACCAGGATAAGTAATTACCAACTTCAAGGAGATAACAAGACACAGTCTGTTGGAAGGACGCCAACCAAGATAACTTCAGCCCAAATAACACACGCTTTGCTTCTGGCAATGGTGTGTTTTAACCGTCTCTCTTATATACTATTCCCCCCCAGCTGCAGCCAATGAGGGGGATCATGGCCGTTTCTTCTCCCGTAAGCCACGTTGCTCCCTTCTCTGTTCCTCCCTGCGTGCCCTAGGATGAAGAGGGGATGGGCCTGGTTTTTCCTGACTGCCCAGCCAGCCTCTGCTCTTCCCCAGCCTCCTCCACAACCTCCGGAGCCACACTTCTACTCCCTGTCAGCTGTTCCTCCTCTCCCTCAGAGTCTGACTCTAACAAGGGCATGACAGGGGCAAAACTCACTATTAGTCACCTTCTTGCTTTAACGGTTTTGGGCGTAAGTCGAGAACTTTCTGAGAGCAGAGTTAGAAACCTCACCTTTGCCAACTCATCAATGAAACACACGTGGGTCACAGGATCCCTTTTCTTAGACAAGACCTTCTGGAGATGTTGCACCTGGAAAATAACAAACACGCTATGTGAAGTCCAGATTCTTGAGAATGTTGATGGAGGCTGCAAACCAAGAATGGGATTCCAAACATCCCAACAACCAGTTCTCTGCCTGGTTGCTGGGTGGGCATGGCCATGGTGGGCGTGGCCTACCGATAGAACTTCCGGGAGGGCTGTTTTTCACCTTCCCCAGAGTTTGGAAGCTTCCCTTGGGTCTCTGGGAAGGCAAAAACAACCTCTCCTGGGCTCCGAAAGCTGCCCGGAAGCCGGAAACAGGCCCGTTTCCGGACTTCTGGAACTTACAGTTCGGCCCATTTTTCTCCCTCCCAGAGCCTCCGCATGGACCCTGCACTGACTTGCCTCCAAAATGGGCTGCGTGGAGACTCTTGGGAGGAGTAGGCGGGGTGGGGGCAGCCGGTTGGTTCAACTAGTGGTTTGGCGAACCAGATGTAAATTTAACATCCGGTTCGTCTGAACCGGCCCGAACCGGCTGAATCCCACTCCCGCTGCACACCAAGGAAAGGATTTGAAAGTACCTGTCCACAAGCCGCACAGATCTGATCCATCAATTTCTCCATATTGGTCCAGAGAGCTGCTCGGAAGGCTGCGGTATTTCCTGGGGTGGGCATAGCTGCTCGACCGGGACCACCTAAATGTGTGTTGTTGTTTTTAAATTAATCCGTCTCAAAAATCCATCTCTGTAAAGCTTACGCAAACTACGCACGTTTTGAATGCCTACATTGCTGTGCAGATCAAAAGCAAGAAGTTAACAGAATAAAAGAGAGGATTTGAGCCCTCCTGCAATGATAACAGGATAATAGAGTCGGAAGGGACTTTGGTGGTCTTCTAGTCCATCCCTTTGCTCAAGCAGGAGATACTATTTCAGACAAAATGGCTGTCTGGGATCTTATTCGTAGATGTTATACTCTCAGATTGGAAATGGAGATGTGGGTACTCTATTTTTCTTATCTTCATTTTTAAGTGCTTTGGTTTTGTTGTATTGCGAACAGTTGCTGGGGTGCATCCACAATTTAGTTGTACTTGTACAATGACAATAAAGTTCTTCTAATTCTAATTCTAATTATAACCCTCTAGTGATGGAGCACCCGTAACTTCTGGAGGCATTGAACTGAGCTATGGCTCAATATAAGGCAAGGCAAGAAGCAATGGATGGAAACTTAGTCGAGAAGACAAGCAACCAAAACAGAATACCGAATAACAGAGTTGGAAGGGACTGTGGAGATCTTCTAGTCCACCCCTTTGCTCAAGCAGGAAACACAGCTTCCTCTTATAAATCACCCTGGGAAAATGTGATTCTTGGATTTTTAGGAGTTTTTTTTTCAATCTAGAACTAAGGAGAAATTTCAAAACAGTTAGAACAATTTAACCAGTGCCTCCAGAAGTGCTCCAACACTGCAGGTTTTTAAGAAGAGACTGGACTAGAATGGTATAGGGTTTCCTGCCTTATAGATTCAGGCCAAAATCTAAACTTGGTTTCTTAGTTCAGCAGAGGATTGCAAACAACAACAACAACAACAACCAGGGATGTTGTGGAGATTGGCTGAGTTATTTAGGTGGGTTTCATGGAAGCTGTCTGGAAAACCAACCATGATTGTGTGGAATTCCTGCCGAGCCACAAAGGTGGTATGAAACCACATCCAGTGACATCTGATGTTGAAAATTAGGGCTGCTAGGAATCTGTTACCAAATTAAAAAAAAAAGAAAAAAAAAGGCTGAAGTTTAAACCCAGCCAACTACACTGTTCACTTTAGTCAGGCAGTTTTGGGGGAAACATGGTATAAGAATGGTATCTTTACCTGTATTAATAATTCAGCGTGAAAATTGCATTTAACTGCTTTTGCAATAAAATGTCAAAGCTCCACAATGGATAATTCCTCTTTTTCCTTCATCAATATTTTATGTCAGATTAAAGGCTGAGATTACAAGCGGTTTTTGGTATAATGCATTCTCCGTTAATGTAGGATATTCTATTAGCTAAAATTAGAGGCACCGGTCAAAATCCCAGCAAAACAAACTCAAAATGTACTGCATTTCAACCTTTTTATTATTATCCTTGTTAATATGACTTGAAATCTGAAAAGAATGAAGGAATTTGCTGAAATACTAAGTACAGGTAGTCCTTGGCTTACAACAGTTCATTTAGAGACCAAAATTACAACAACAGTGAAAGAAGTAACTTCTGACCGTTTTTCGCACTTTATGACCATTGTAACATCCCCATTGCAACTTCTTCTCCAGAACATCTGAAGGTCAGACAAGAAGCAATAGATGGAAACTAACCAAGGAGAGAAGCAATCTGGAATTAAGGAGAAACTTCCTAACAGGGAGGACGATTAACCAGTGGAACTTCTTGCCTCCAGAAGTTGTGGGTGCTTCATCACTAGAGGCTTTTAAGAAAAGACAGGACAGCCATTTGTCTGAAATGGTAGAGGGGGATGGACTAGAAGACCTCCAAGGTCCCTTCCAACTCTGATCATCCTAAAGGTTCTTTTTCAAGAGGCAACTGGATTCTCTGTTTTTTCTTTGGAGATGTTTCACTTCTCATCTAAGAAGCTTCTTCAGCTCTGACTGAATGGTGGGGAAATGGAAGGATTTATATTCCTTGCAGACGGCTGGTCATTTGCATCCTTTTAGAGGGTCACTGAGGCCACCTGGATGTTTGACTGTGTCCTCGGGGTAACCTGGATGTTTCTGCCCTGTGTCCTTTCACTGTTGAACACAGGTGCAGGCTGTTGGGGATGAGTCTGTTTTGTCTCCATCTCAGCAATTCCAAGAAGGCCCCACACTCATTTGCACCACTCAAGTGACTCTGAGGACACAGACAAACCTCCAAGTGGCCTCAACGGCTCTCTAAAGGGACGCAAATGACCAGCTGTCTGCAAGGAATATGAATCCTTCCATTCCCCACCATCCGGTCAGCGCTGAAGAAGCTTCTTGGATGAGAAGCAAAACGTCTTCAAAAAAAAACCCAGAAAGTCCAGTTGCCTCTTGAAAAAAGCACCCTGGGGACAGCCACAACCTTGGGATGACTGAGAATCTCCACAGATTTCCAACTCTGATATTCTATGTTCTGTGTTCTGTTTTTTCAGAGCTGTTCTAACTTCAGTCGTTAAATGAATGTTTTAAGTCAAGGATTGCCTGTCTAATACCCTCTTTATGGCGATGTATCAAATTACAAAGCACCACTTTGCCTAATATAGCAAAATAAGAAATATGCAAGGTACCTCTAGCTACTTGAGAGGGCTGAGTCAAAACTTTAAAATCCAAAGCGTTGCTGACATTCTCCTCCAAGGCTGTGCAATATCCCTCCACCACATTAGCGATTGTTACTTTTAATGTTCCGAGATTGTAGAAAACTTGAAGAGCAGTTCCTTCTTGAGTAGGATTCTAGAACAGAGGAAAGAAATCAAGAATCAAGAGAAAAAAATGAGGGATCCGCTTTTAAGCAAGAGATTTACCTCAGGCATCAACGCTGTTGCCATTCTTCCAAGCTCACACAAACTTTGGCTTCCTGCTCAGATTAATCCATTTTGTTTTATATTTGTGTGCAACAACCTCATTTAGGAGGGTCTTCCCGGTTTAATGACTAACTCATCTGCTTTTTAACCACGCATTAATACATTACAAAGGAAATATACCTATACATTATCAAACCTCAATACAGAGGTGTGCTATTTACAATGCACCTTATGATCACTCTAATATAAAGTAGCTGTGATGACCCAGGGGGGGATACAAAATAAACACAGTCACAAAAACCCAGTGAAGCCCCTTTTTTTCCTTCACTTTGCTTCCAAGCTCCAAATATCCTTGACTGGAGACAAAAAAACTCCCACACAAACAGTTACAAGAAGGAGGAAAAAAGCAACACAAACCAGGCAAGATAAGGGCTGGAGGACATCTATAGATAGCAGAACACACACTGGGAAGGACGCCAAACTGAGAGAGGAACTATAAACTAGAGATATTTCCATGCTTTATTTCCAGCGTTTGCCACTACGCAGGTCCGTCCTCTTATTCAGTTGTCACAGCTGCAGTCCATGAAGAGGATCAAGGCTCTCTCCTCAGTAGACCATGTCTCTCCCTTATCCTCTCCTCCCCCTCCAGAGCCACACTTCTACTCCCTGTCGGCTGTTCCTCTTCTCCCTCAGAGTCAGTCTCCACTAGAGGCATGACTGCATGAACAGAGGAATACAATCAAGATAGTGCGAAGTGTTAATTCCACTTTATAATGTTTTGATAAGATCTCATTCGGAACATTGCGTCCAGTTTTGGTCGCCACAATATTAAAAGAAATAATATTGAGACTCTAGAAAAAGTGCAGAGAAAATCAACAAAGATCATTAAGGGACTGGAGAATAAAACATTCGAAGAACGGTTGCTGGAATTGGGTATGTCTAATCTGATGAAAAGAAGGACTAGGGGAGACATGACAGCAGTCTTCCAATATGTCAGGGGCTGCCCCAAAGAAGAGGGAGTCTTTAGAGAAGCTATTCTCTAAAGCACCTGAGGGCAGGACAAGAAGCAATGGGTGCAAATTAATCAAGGAGAGAAGCAACCTGGAACTGAGGAGAAAGTTCCAGACAGCTAGAACAATTAATCTGTGGAACAACCTGACTCCAGAAGTTGTGGATGCTCCATCATTGAGAGACTTTAAATAAGAGATTGAACAGTAATTTTTCTGGGGTGGGTCTCCTGCCTGAGCATGGGGTTGGACTACAAGACCTCTAAGGTCACTTCCAACTCTGTTATCATGTTATTCTGGATACAAAGTTCATTTAATTCACTTGGACAGGCTGACTATGACTTAAGTCCCTTTAATTTAGTTGGGTACAGATTACCCAACTAAATTAAGAATAAAAATCTAAATTAAGAATAAGAATAAAAATCTGTACCCAACTAAATTAAGAATAAATCCAGAGATCCCTGGCCTGCATCAATACAAACTCTATTTGCCTTGATACTATACAATTTTCCAACGCAACCCTTTTTTTGAGCAGTCTTCTTTTAGAACCAGTAAATTGCTTTTTATTTAGCATCGTTTGTTCATTCAAAATGTGCAGAAATAAGATGTTTCTTTGGTGATGGTACAGTGTGGAAATTCCACCATATTCTTTCATTTTGCCGTAAACCCACTGTTTTGTTTTATCTAATCTATATATATAAAAGCGAACTACCCCTCACGCATCATCACAAAATCTCCAGAACCGTAAAGCCTACAAACTTGAAATTTGGCCCATATGTTCCTCTTTGCTTCTAGGGGCTCACTAAGAAAGGATTTTTCCAAATGACCATGAGAGCAATTAGTCTTTCCTATATTATTATTATTAACACACTCTGATGCTAAGGAGTTCTATTCCCCCTCCTCACCTGAAAAGAAATATCTTCCAAATGCAGAACACAAACAGAGGAGTTTCAGTTTCAATTTCACAGCACCAAGCAGCTTTAGTACAGAACAGTGGAGCTAAGCCACGCCCAGGCTCCTTACTGTCTCCTTGCTCACACAAATACTAAATACCAAACAGCCTTCAACTCTCTCACACACTGACTGGACACTAGCCAGATGAATACCGATGGATGCTGGTAGGCAGAGGCACAATTTTTTTCCCTTATTTTCCTCCCCAAAAACTAAGCCTGACCACATAGTTACGTAGCAAAGCACGGGTATAGAGCTAGTCTTTTATATTAGTTTTGTAAGTAATTGTTCCTGTCTTAAAATATTTTATACCCCTTTTTTTGCACCAGTTTATTTTCAACTCATTTTTAGTATTCTCAGGCTGTAGTATGTAAGTAAGACATGTGGGCAGACGCTGCATTAAGTCACATCGCTTTGCAGCTCTCTATATGGTAAACCTTCACTTTATAGTTAGAGGAAGAGTCTGTACATTTGAACGTATGTAATTTATTTTACATAATTGCCCAATTTGTGTAATTGCATGGATCCTTTGCTTCAATCTATATCATTTATATAATATGGACATACTATATAAAGTCCTGGATATTCTGCCTAGCTAGGAAGAGAAGGGTGGTGGTGGAAACCATTTTAAGCTGTTTTTTTCCATTTCTAATTTGAATGTCAACTATATGAAAAAAAAAGAGAGAGAGAGATCAGAATCCTGAATTACAGATTAGATGAACAGCTTTTTGGGATCCTTATGTTAAAACAACGTATTTCACCTGCGGTCAGAAGCCAAACATTACATAAAATAAAGCCCTTTATTTGAACAAAACCGTTACAAATGAGAATTGTGTATTTGGATCTGATTGGGAGGGGATAATAAAGTTGACACCGAAATATAATTTGCATTTCTTCGGTCTTTTACTCTGTTTTGCAAAATATGGTCTTATTATTGTTCTGCATTTTGTATTATGATGCCTCCTTTTCTTCCTCTCTGCAAACCCCACTCCCTTCTAGCAAGGATGATGTTACCTAATGGGGTAATGAAATGTAAGTACCCCACAGCCTATTCTTTCTCCTGCTCCTCCTGCTCCTGCTCTTCCCCTCCTCCTGCTCCCCCTCTCCTCCTGCTCTTCCTCCTGCTCCTCCTCCCCTCCTCCTGCTCTTCCTCCTGCTCCTGCTTCCCCTCCTGCTCCACCCCATCCTCCTCCTCCTTGCCTCCTCCTGTTCCTGCTGCTCCTCCCCTCCCTCTCCTGCTCTTGCTCCTCCTTCCCCTCCTTGTGCTCTTCCCCTCCTCCTGCTCCACCCTACCCCCTCCTGCTCCTGCACCCCTTCTCCTGCTCTTGCTCCTCCTACTGCTCCTCCCCTCCTCCCCTGCTCCTTCTCCCGCTCTTCCCCCTTCTCGTTATCCTGCTCCTCCCCCTTTCTTTTACATAATTTACATACCTAATGTCCCCATGACATAAATTACAGCACACAAGAAATCCCACACTCCCCCCTCCCAAAAAATCTGGGATATGATTAAAATAGTCCTTAACTTACAACCACAATGGAGCCCAACATTTCTGTTGCCAAGCGAGACATTGGTTAAGTGAATTTTGCCCCTTTTTATGACTTTCTTGCCACAGCTGTTAAGGGAATCTCTAACCTTCAGACATGGTGGTCCAAGGTAAGTTAGAATCCCTGCTGGTTTCCAGTTAATAATTAAGAGATACCCTTTTTTCTCTATGTGGTAATAAATTCTGGTTAAAATTACCCTGTTTCCCTGAAGATACGACCTACCCTGAAAGTAAGTCCTAGCTTGGTTTTTACACGTGCTCCCAATATAAGCCCTACCCCCCAAAATAAGCTCTAATTAAGGTCCCGCCCACTCCAGTTTCTAATTTGTATTAATCATCAGAACAATCATGCAGTAATAATTAATGTAGGATCCGAAAGGCAATTCTACCATGTTTTCCCAAAAATACAACCTACCCCGAAAGTAAGCCCTAGCTTGATTTTTACATGTGTGCCCAATATAAGTCCTACCCCACAAAACAAGCCCTAATTAAGATCCCACCCACTCCAGAGTGGATGGGTAAAAATTAAGCTAGGGTGGGGATTGGGGGGGGTGGAGCTGCCCTACTACTTACCTTTGGACAGTTGTAGCCAGGCCTCACACACCCCAACACCTGCCTTGCCAGCCCATTTCTTCTGCAGCTGGCAAGGCTGGCAAGGCTTTCCTGAAGGTCTCTGTAACTGATAACAAAGTTCTGGATCGATCCAGAGCTCTGTTATCGGCTGTAGAGGCCTTCAGGAAAGCCTTGCCATCTGCAGTAGTTCCTGAAGGCCTCTGACAGTGAAAAGGAGGCCAGGGGCGACTCGCGCAAGTGAGGTTAGTCAATGGATGACATCCCCCCAAAATAAGACCTGGTGCCTCTTTTGGTGGCAAAGAAATATAAGACAAGGTCTTATTTCTGGGGAAACCAGGTAGGTTTGTGGCATAAATTTCAGGGAGCGCCCTTCTTGCTCCGATGATGATGATGATGATTAGAATTTATATTGCCGCCTATTCGCCCATGGTGACTCGAGGTGGCTTACACAATGTAAAACCATATTTAAAATAAAAAAATAAAAAAAAACAATAAAAACTAACAAAAAGAATCAAATAAATTAATAAAGTACAATAGAACAAAATCTGGAAAAAATAAGAAAAATAAAAAAAATCACCCCCCATCATGCGATTATTCAGAATTTAATGAACAAGACAGAGAACCTATAGAAATTAAAGTGATTATATGCAGGAGAAGGAAAAAAATCGGATTATCAACCCAAGGGAAGAGAAATTTCTCTCATGTTTCTTCCAGCTTCACCAGGCACAATTTGGATTGTGCTGCAGAAGATATTGTTGATTAATGTTGGGTATGCATTTGTAGCTGGGCTAATTTCATTATTTTAGAACCTGCTAAGAATCAAGCCGTCAGCTACAATGTGCACAAACACTGTGCAC